CGATTAAACTGAAAGTTACAACACTGACATGATTATACGAGTCGTTTTTACCGAGACATCGATCAGAAGCGCAGTGAAAATGGTCATATCCGCCGGATCCACCTCTCTGGCTGCAATGCGCGCTCCCGACACAGCGGGAACAGATTTTCTCACAAGACGTCTTAAGACCACATCATTGACGTTTTTGTTGCTCTGCTGGTAAAATATCAGAACCGTAGCAGCTGAAATAAGGTAAATTTATTGTCTTGTGTTTTCTGCCAGAGAAATATGAATAAAAACGAGGGATTAACATCGTTTAAAAAAAGCGCAACTTGATAATAAAGCTGACGCACGCAAGCTAGCGCTAATGCTAATACTGGCGCAATAACGTTATGTAATCAGTAATTAACAACACCTGCTGTAGTTTACATTCATTTTAGTGTTAGATTCAGCTTGACATATTTGAATAAATATAGTGGCAAAAAAAAGATGACTGGAATTATACTACATTAGGCTAGGGTATCAAGAGTTTAGCTAATTTGTGTAAATTATGTATCTGTTCCTGTTAGCGCACTGCGCACAAATCAGGAAAATTGCTACCAAGTAAACCTCAAAATACTTATGGGTACACTCATTATTTATTGTGTGAGTGCTATTTTAATTTATTGTTGAGTTTTTATGGGTCAAAACAAGAACACTTTTTATGTATTCAGAGTGTGTCGAAGACAATTATACACATTACTTAAAGTGAGTACCTTCCTGAACATTATAAAAAGTTGGTTACTTCTTCTAATCCACGTTTTTTATAACGCATGAATGCATGATATAAAACATACGGAGCGAGGGGACATGGGAGATATTTTTTCTTTTGCATTCCCACACAAAAGTATTGCGTTACCTCGCAATAAACATCTTTGAGGGTCTCGAAAAGCGAAAGTAGTTTACAAGTAGATAGACAAAGTAGTTTATCACTGTTGTGTCTGCAAGTTTATTAACAAACTCACATGTTCACCATTAGCGAGTTATCCTACTGCTTTGATTCAGCTTCAGAATGAATATATCACACAGCCACGCATGGAAGTGTCATGGTGTTTTATCACAGTGCAGCCACACAACATCAATGTCAAATTCACGAACTTGTAGTGACACATCCTGTTTTGGTAACCAGATATTTCAAAATAAAAATCGAATTTAATTCAGTTCATATACAAAACAAACTTTTGTGTGGGAACGAAAAACAATTTTGCAAGTTAAAGCAAAAGTATTGCGAGGTAACGCAAAGATATTGCGAGGTAACGCAAAAGTATTGCGAGGTAACGCAAAGATATTGCGAGGTAACGCAAAAGTATTGCGTGGGAACGCAAAAGATTAAAAAAATCCCCCCATGTCCCCTTGTGGGCTCCGTAAAAACAGATCCATCAAATCAAAAATTAAAATAATTAACATTTCACTTTAGGTTGCCAGCAGAAAATTCCGTTTATAGCATATTATCTTCTTTTAACACAAATTAGAGAGTTTTCAGAATCAGAAGATTTAATCATCTTGACTTTAATATATTCTCCTGATCCACACAGCATAAATACCTTTCTTGCAGTAGGAGGTAGTATACAGATGATAAAACAGCACTACTGTATAAATACAGTAAGTACTGTCTTTTAAATTTAAAGATGTTATGACATTAATAATTGTTCAAAAATCAGAAAACTTGGGCCTGGAAATGTATGAAATTTCTAATTTAAAAATGTGATGCATTTGGCAATAAAGGATGGTCAGTTAGAGCTAAAACAAAGWAACATTTCTAAACCACTGAATTAATATCAAAGAAACAATTCTGCCACCATATTTCAGCTCAATATGTATAAAAAATAGCTGAATTGTAACCCTTTGAATTTAGCTTTGGTGGACATCTTGGATTATTTTATTTGATTTATCGCTCTCAGCTACCACCACACTAAATTTTAGGAACACTGAAGCTGAAGTCATAAAACACTCTTAGATTATTGAGCCCTTATATATTTAAGTATATTTAGTTATATTTTCTGCAGAGTAACATTTCTGTTTGAGTTAAATACCACCTTAAGGTTTATTAAACTTTATTTCTGCTGTATGAATGACTAGCTGTTCTTAAAAAAAGAGAATWAAAAGTTCTCAAGAGCAGCATAATAAATTAAGACAATTTCTATTCCAATGTTTGTGTGCAGGAGCTTATTCCAAACTGTACAATGAGCCCGCTGGCTGAAGGAGGACACCTTGGCACCAGACAACAGACACATGATGCTGGCACTCAGTTGTCATCGAGCGTCAGAACGCCTGGCACAGGCCAGATCGTCCCCGTGTGCCTCCCCCTGGTCTCTGCGGCTAATAAGTTTGTATGGGTTAACTCAAACCAGTTAGAACTGCCGGCGGATTCGGTCGCAGAGCTGATCAAAGCCTTTGACAAGTTTCCGTATCTGACACAGAAGCAGACCGTTGAGCTGGCCCAGCGCAGCTCCCTGCTCCAAGACCAGGTGAAAGTGTGGTTCATGGCGAAGAGGATCGAATTCGGTATCAGCTGGGACTATGAAGACATCTGCTACGTCTGGGACAAGTACAGATCCAAGAAGAAAGATGACGAAGAGAACAGGGAAGGCCAAAACGAGGTGGATGAAGAGATGCAAGGAAGCAAACGAAAGAAAAAGATTCCAAAAGATAAGGAAGAAGAGTCTGGTGAGGAGACAGGAGGAGAGGAAAAGAACCCAAAAGAGGGAACAGCGATGGCACAAGAGGTGAGCGCTAATGAGAATCTCGAGAGAAACACACGAAAAAAACAAAAACTAGATTCAAAGATAGACAAGGGTCGAAAGAAGTCGGTGAAGCAASGTAACGACAACGAGGGAGACAAAAAACTGGAGATGAAGATGGATAAAAGTGAGAATAAGGGTCAAGCATTCTCTGAGTCTGAGGGAGAAGATCTCGAAAAGAAAAAACAGAAAGCTATAAAAAAACAAATGAAGACTGTCAGCGAGAGTCCCAGTGAGCCTGTAGTCCCACTGAGCAGAACTTCTGTTCTCAAACCTCCAATCCAAACTGTAAACAGCGTTGCTGTGACTGAGAGCCAGGCAGATCCACAGCACAGCGCTGACGCTCCCTCCACCCCTACGAACGTCCGCTTTAAGGACAAACTTGAAGCCTTGGCTGGTCTGCAGGATGGCCTGCACACAGAGGCGTCAGTCTCAGATATTTTTGTCACAGACGTAGGCAAACTGAAGGAGCTCACCTCGATTACTGGTCTCACGCCTGCAGACGATCCCCCCACTCCGATCAAACAGGACGCAGACAAACACGGCGTTTACTCCTCAAACCGCAACAAGACGTACACTCAGCTGGCGATGCTCAAAATGGCTTTCTTGTGCTGCCAGTACCCAGAARGCGAGCAGTACACCTGGCTGTCAGAGCTGACAAAGATTCCCCGCACCGACATAGTTCAGTGGTACGGTGACATGCGCTACGCCCTGAAAAGAGCAAAGCCCCGCTGGATGTCTGACGAGCAGTTCAAGCAGACGCTGGGCAATATCAAGTATCACCAGAACATACACAAGCTGAACAATTCAACGGATGGGCCAGGCCACATGACCATGATGAAGATGCTCCAGTTGTTCAAAGGCTTTCAGGAGAAAGAAAAGAAAGAAGCCTCAGAGGTAAAGTTTTAATGACTAAACACRAGAGCGGTTCATCCTCCCTGTTATATTAAAATGTTTGAGAAAAGGCGGAAGACAAGGCTCTTACGTTGTTGTTATGTTTCTGACAAATTTGATATCACTGAACAAGTTTATTACGTGTTAAATGTTCTACAGATTTGCACTGAYGACTTTTATTTGTGCTTGGCAAACACTTTTTTTTTAATTACAGTTCCACTAAAATGCTTCTGAATGTGAATCGCTTTGTGATTCATTGCATTAAAACCTTCACAAATAACAATTTCAGATACATAAATATTTTTCAAAGAACACGTTAAGAGTTTCAGAGCTGAACAGAAATAATTGCACTGTTTGGCTTGTTATAACATGCAAAAGCAGGAGAGAAACATTAAATCAGCAGAAAACAAAAACCTTCAAGGATTTAATGTAAAATATGTTGCATAAAAACAATACAACATTAGTAATATTTTGACATTCATTCTCTTATCCAGCTGTACATATAGTTTAATTTTACAACTTGTGATTAAAAAATGTATTACATTCATAGCTGTTAAATTTGGGAAATATCAAACCGTTTGTTGCACACAGTTAAGTATACCAGGTTAATTGGCATTCCACTAAACTTCAGTCTTCAAGGTCAGAGTTTTAAGACAGGCATGATATGTGTTTTAGGCTACATATTTGGGATTGTGATCAGATAACACATTCTGTCACAGTGTAGAAAACAGGTAACCACAGTTAATCCCCAAATAAAACACAACAGAATACAGCTAATTAGAATACAAATTTCCCCTCAACATTTTTTAYTCAGAAATACGCAAATATTACACTCATTTTATGTCAGAACACTGACCTCAAATAGGACGTGAGTGAACTACAAGCTACACTGTGTGACTTGTTTTGAATTGTTTTGCCTAATCTCCTTCATCTTTAATGTTGTAGTACTCGAGACAAGTCATGGATGGTCTCAAGACCACTTTTTGATGGTCTCGTCTCAGACTCGACCACTTTTTTACTCGGTCTTGGACATTGAGGACTTTGAATTTTATTTCAAGACCACAACTGTGGAAATATCAGTAAATTTCCAGAATTTTGTTCAATTTATTTGTTATTGTTGCTTTCATTGGATTAAAATGTTCTGATTCCAATCCAAGCATGACTCGTTGTATTTTTGTTACCTCTGTCACCCATACATACCCACCCCCTGTCACTCGCATGTGGCTTTTCAAGAAAGTGAGCAGTGGTTGTTTGGGAGCAGATGTCTGTAAAGTCTTCAGTGAAACAATCCGGCTGCATAAATCATAAATAATATATTTGTAAATTCTGCAGTGTTTCACTTTCAGAGAAGGTAGGGACTATAGTAAACTTTTATCAACACTTAGAAACGAAACACACAAAAAAGATAAGCTATGTGTAATTGATGTTAGCAAAGCTAGCTAAAGTTAGCAATCTGCCTCTGTACCAAAATTCTTAACCTGGTCCTCACACAAAGAGATTTAGTCAGTATTAACTACATATTATGTTAGCTACCTGTGTACAGTATACTTTTAGGGCTCTAGTTTCCACTTTTTCCAGTCTTGACTCAGTCTGAGCCTCTAAAAGTTTTGGTTTTGTTTCGGTCTCTATACACTGGTCTTGACTTGGTTTCGGGTTATGTGGTCTATACACTAATTCAAAAAATCAGCAAAGGATAGTTTTTTGATAACTATTGTTCTGTTAGATTAGATTCTTAATGGTAAGCATGGGTGTTAAGGACCCCAAACAGGTCTATCCGCTAGATTCCTTTAATCGGGTTGATTTAGTTCCAGCTGGTGGTGTACTCGGTCCTCTGTGGTTGCCAGAGCTCAGTGCCTTCAATAACTCGACGGATCACTGAGGCAGAAGTGATGAGCAGGTGTCCAGCCGCCTGAAGGAGGGTGGAGACCAGACGCAGAACTTCTCTGAAATCACAACAAACAGAAAAGGTCACACTTAGCTTGTTCCAGTAATGTCCAGGGTTTAAACAGTTTTCAACAGTTTTAGATCTTTATTTATGGGTGGAAACAAGTAATAAAAGTTGAACCAACAATCCATTATCAACGTCACCGACCAGGGCAACTTTTATTTTAYAATAAMTTTGTTTCACAACTACATGTTTAGGCTGAAATGTTTAGATTAGAAACACAAATTAGCACAATCTACATAGGAAAATAATCCYAACATAATTTATACTACTTTTGCTACTAGAAGGATTTGAGCAAAATAATTCTCTTCTACACAGTAATAATGTTTGTCARGCCTTACCTAAGGACTTTCTTGGGGCCCAGACACTGAAAGTCAGCGCTCACAGAGTACAGGCCTTGAAACGTGGCCTTCACACTCAGGGAGCCAAACAGGTCTTTGGGACTTATCCTGTAAAGGTCAAAGGTGACTCGAGCAATGTCTCTGCCGGTGCGAGGCTTGCCGTGGTTTCGGAGCACGACTGAACCCTGGATTTGRCGAMACCCAACAGAAACAAACCCAGAGGAATAAATCAGYGGCAGTTTGTTTTAAGGTGTGAAATTAAAAAGTTGCGWAGACGTGGGTCAAACTTACGGCCAGTGGTTTCCACATCTGTCCAGGCTCCAGAGCCATAAGCATGACRTTGTCTGGTAAAGTCATGAGGAACTCATCAGAGTCCACCTCGGTACCGTCCTCCTCACAAACCAGACTCAGAGATGCTGCAGAAAGACAGAGCAGCAGCGCCTGGCAGACCTGAAACATAACCCGTTATTACCGCTACATGAACAACTGTGACATTTTTTAAATTAACTTCATTCTTGAGGCAGTTCAGCAACAGTTTCTTGATCATGATACATTTAGCATGACTTGAAATGAGGTTAAGAGAGTTATTTGTAGGAGTGTACTGATAAATTGGCCCCAATTTCCTTAATTTTGGGAGATCTGCGATCAGATGATACCTACTGTAGCTACCAATCAGCCTTCAAAACCAGGAAATCAAATTAATTTTAAAACTTTTTTTAAATGAAAATTTAATGCAGTTCTTTGAAACTTCCAGATCTATCAAATACCATGCTTAGGTTATAAGTTAACATATGAAATAACCAAAATAGGATATAAGTACTTAAAAATGATAATAAAGTTGATCAAATGTTTRCATTTTTAAATAGGTTCCTGTGAAAAATCTGGTACTCCTGAGGTTTAAATCTGTAATCTGGCCCCCGTCTGGTAAACATCTTATCTTTGAGAGTGAACGCTGCTTTAACATACGACTTCACGAGAGCTTATGTGACATCAACAACTGTTTGTTCTGTAAAATAGCCTGCTTTTGATCGTTTCCTCTCACCCTCTCCTTCAGCTCCTCCAGGGTTCCTGCTGTGATCCCTTTTTTGGTCTCTCTCGTGTGACAGCAGACTCTGAAAGGCCTCTGTGGAGGAGACCAAACTCGCTTGGTCACAGATCTGAGGACAAAAAGGAGATCCAAAATAAATTATGGATTTCTCTCTGTTCAGAGTAAACATTTTGGACCTGCTGTAGAAAAGAACTAATAACTGATAACAGGAGCAGACGCACAGATTGCTTCACATCTGGCAATAAATCAAATGTCTCAAAGTGAATGAATTACAGAGCAGAAAAATGGAATTAAGTTAGTATTAATTTTATTATTTCCCACTGTTATTTGTAAAAATGTTCTAGCACATTTTATAGTTTTTCTCTGGAGGACTTGGACACAAAATAATTACCTTTTTTAGCATTTTTACCCCCATTAAAGCCTCAACATCTTCCCCTGTTTAACCTAAAACCTCCTAAGTCAACATAACCTACCTGTATAAGTTCACTTATTTCATTGATCAAATCTACAGCAAAGAACAAGTCTGAGGCAGCGTTTCACCTACTGCAGCACAAATCAATAGGAAACAAGTCAAAACTTCACTTACTTGAGGAATGAAGACGTAGAATCCATCCTGATCGGTGTGTCGTCTTCTCACAGCTTTGTGTTTCGTCGAGTGTTTTGGTGCGACAGAAAGTCTCACACTCCCTGTGTGTGTGTGTGTGTGTGTGTGTGTGTGTGTGTGTGTGTGTGTGTGTGTGTGTG